GGTGCCTTGTCGACGTGTTTGGAATGGTTGAGTCCATATGTGTGTCCATGACGTGGTTATAGTCGCCACATATGATCTTGGGGTCATTCACACCCTCGGGTAGCTTGGCGAGAATTTTGTGTAAGAAGTTACGTTGTTGTTCGTTTGGGCTATAGAGGCATACTATGACATATGGGTGCTCATTTATTCTACAGTGTAGAATTATGTACCGTCCCTGGTTGTCTTTTTTGACCCTAAGAGTTTCTACGGTTAGAGAGTTATGTAGCAGGATGGATACGCCTCTGGATTTGGAGGTGTGGGTGGCGTGGTGTTGCGTGGGATATTCCCTGAGGGCGAAGGTTGGGACTTTAGTGGAGACAAAGTGCGTTTCTTGTATGCAGACAATGTCCGCCTTGGTTTGTTTGATATCATTGAGGAGCATGCGTCGTTTATGTGGCGTGTTCAGGCCTTTGGTGTTATGCGAGTAGATTAGCATGGTCGTTATTGTGTGTTATGAGGTTTGGGGAATTTGTCTGGAATGTGTGCAAGCCGGGTTGGTTGGTGTGTGATTCTCTGCGTTGATAAGCGTTGGAGGGGGTGGGTGGGTTGCAGGAGTGTGGGGAAGTAATGAGTAGGAGGGGTTATGTACAGGACCTATTGGTCTGGTACTCTATGTGTACCTGGGGGATAGGAGCTAGAGCTTCCGGATACGTGGCTAAGCGGGCTCCTAGGTGATTCTTAATAAAGTTGAGCTGAAAACACATAAGTGAGGCTTGCAAACGGCATAGTAAAACATTAACATTTAACAATAACTTTGGTTGCAGAAGACATATAAGGATCATTGCTTGACCTGGCGCTGTGGGATTTAAGTACTCTGAGACTCTGTGTATTTATGAATGAGTGACTCTCTCCGATTTATGTGAGCGTCCCCATAATCGGGTTGTCTGCTCGAGGGCAGAGCTTACATTCTCCCAGGTGGACTATTTTAATGTTGTATATCGTCGCTATCACAGGTGAAGATAGTATTGGGCGTTCTCAACCCGCAGGGAGGAAGGGAGGAGGGGGTGGTTGGCATGCCGTGGAGGCTCTCTGTACCAATTAGGAGTTAGTCTAGTGAGTAAGGGTGGCTCTAGGCGTTTTTTTTTTTTTTTTTTTTTTATAGCTTCATAGAGCACGTTATAACCTTGGAGATTGCTTTATACCCTTGGTAAGCATACCTGCACAGTTTATGTTGCATTTATATTGCAATAGAGAGCTGGGTTGGCATATAGAGGGAGGGGGGCATTGCCCGTGGGCATGGATTTGGCATGCCTGAACCTTGGTGGGGAGGGGGTGGCCTACAGTGAGTGACATTGAGGCTCACTGGTGGAGTTTGCCCTATAGGTGTGCGCCTACAATACCTCGGTTGCTTTGTATATGGGCCAGCGGTGCTTAGTGATGGGAGCGTGGGGGTATACTGGTAAGTATTCTTCGGGTTTACTGCCGCTAGCCTCCCTCCTATCTCAGGGTCCTCCTGTGGCAAGCCCTTCCACTTGGTCTGGGACACTACGGGTGCTGGGGCATAAGGAGCGGACGGGGTGAATAAAGCTCAGATACAGCGCAAGGTAGCTGACGGCTACCTACTGAAGCACATTGAGTGACAGAGAGAGGTAAGCATAGGTAAGCATTAAATGATACTTGCGTCAGGTGCATAATGTTTTGTAAGTTAGTGGATCAGTTCATGGCTGCATTGCGGCCTGGGCGGCGTTTGTCATGCCGCGGTTCTTCCGGTGGTTCTTTTAGTAGGCCCCATGTCTCGATAAGCTGTAATCCTTCTTCTGGGGATGATATGATGGACGTCTTCCCGCTTTTGGTGAGTATTAGTTTCGTGGGAAACCCCCACCGATATCGAATCCCATGGTTGCGGAGTGCTGTGGTGGTCTGAATGTAATCCCTTCTGCGTCGGAGTGTGGCTGGCGACAGGTCCGCCATAATGCGCACCGATGGGAAATCATCATGGGGGCCCTCTCTGTTCCGGTGAGAGCGGAGGACCAGCTCCTTGATATGGAAGTAGTGGGTCCTCAGCAATACGTCGCGTGGTATGGAGTCTGGCAGGTTTTTGGGTTTTGACACCCTATGTATCCTGTCCACCAGGAGCATGTCTGCGGGGATGTCACGAGCGTAGGCTCTCATTAGGCCTCTTGCATAGGCTTGCAGGTCGTCTGGCAGGACTGTCTCCGGGACTCCGCGGAGTCGCAGATTGTTTCTTCGGGCACGGTCCTCATGGTCCGCCATGCGTTCTTCCATGACTGTTAGCTTATGTTGTATCGCCTGCAGTTGCTCTGAAGTGGCAGCTTGTGCAGTCTCCATCTCCTGGTGGCGCCGTTCCATGGTAGTTGTTCTCGTTGAGAGATCTCTCACCTCCCTCTTAATTTGGTCGGCGGTCGTTTGCCAGGTGGCAATTAATTTTTCTGCCATAATCTCCATTGCCTGTTCGAAGTGGCTTCGTGTTAGGCATTCCACTGGTGGGGAATCTTCCGATGGCGCTGGGGAAGGGCTGGGAGCCATTTCGTCTGCGCCCTCTTGTCCGGCCGCTCGTGGCGGGTCTGCGGCAGAGGAGGATTTTTGGCCGAAAAAGTTCATTTTTTCGGCCTTAGAGGTAGCCTTTTTGGTTTTAGAGGTTGCCATGAGGAGTTTGGTGGGTGTCAGGTTTTCAGCTCAATGTGAAAGTTCTTAGAAAGGGAGCCCTCGTGCCGGAGCAAAATCTCAGGCGTCCATCTTGCTCGGCGGTTAGCCACGCCCCCCCGGAATCTGTTATTTTAATGTATATAGGAATTTGTGATAGGGCACAGGTAACTTTGTCGACATGTTTTGGATAATAAATACTATAACCATTGCTACCATCCAAGAGAATTGTGAATTTTAGCGTGGGGCTAATTTCTACAACCTTACGCACATTCTACTTGCATTACGTTGCTCGCTATCTGTGCATTTATATGTTGCATTGATAATTCCGTTCATTAAAATCTTAAATTTCAAAAAAGTTCAATTTCTGGCTTAGTAAATAGCCTCTATAGTTAAAGTACATTTCCTTTTCTATTTAGCTCTTCATTCATATAAATTGGCATAAATCTGTCTACTACAGCTTGTAACAGCCTGAGATTGTATTCTATTATACACATCAGTGTACTAGACACTTGACAAGTGAATTTCTTAGTCAGGGATATTTTAGATGCTTGAAGTCAACATAGATCAATGGATTTGGCCCCTGAGAATTGTGGGGACAAGTGTTAAATTACGTAAGTGAAGGAGTGACTGAAATCTTAGCTGCTCAGAGATTGGATATCACTTAATTTAACTCTGTTACATAACTGGTGGTCATATAATTCTACAAGCTAGCCATTGAATTAGAAATCGTTTAACAATGGGAGATATTTTTATGTGTTTTCTCTTTTATAAAATAAAAAAACACCTGTTGCTTTTTTTTCTTTTTAAAAAAAAACAAAACTGGAAGGTACTGGGGTCACACCTGAGTGTGAAAAAGTCGGCGTGTCAGAGATCTGATTGTACGCAATTTTCACAATCCTTAAATATTTAGGACTTGCCAACTGGCCATCCATCTGTGGTTTGTCAACAACTCTTATCATTCCCAGCCTGTACTTTATTTGTATTGTAAAGGATTTTTAAAAAAAACCAACATATTTGTCTTAGTTAAAAATCATAGGTAGGAAATGTCATCTAATTATAGAAGCAGTATGCTAAATTAAGAACTTTACAGAATTAAATCTTTTTTTTCACTTCATGAACTAAATTATAAAAACTCCAATCATCACCAGCTATTTTCGGGGTTCTCGTTTGCTACTTTGACCTATTTTGACCTTAAATTTGAAATTTTGAAACTTTTTTGAATTATGGTTATTTACCAAAGTGTGAATTGTTTGGAATTCTTTAGTTACATAGTAAACAGCGCTACGGAATCTGATGGCGCTATATAAATAATAAAATAATAATAATCTAGGACTCAAGTCCATTTAGGTCAACCTTTAAAACAAATCTTTGTATACTGATGACTAAAAAACGGGGAAATCCATCTTAACTCTATCATGGCAAGCATATTTCTCTTTGGATCAACCTATTCACATACATGTTATTTATATCTTTTAATATTCTATTTAAAAAAATTGGGGGGGAACCACAATATTCCCAAACGTTTATCTCAATATAAAAAAAGGTCTCTGACATAGCTTTGTTGCTGCATATAATTTAGAGTGATATTCTGAGACTCCGAACAGCTGAAAGAAGCAGTACAACATACATCCGTGTTCTTTAAACGTTAACTGACCTTTAATTATTAATTTACATTCATACTAAGAGTCTTAAATGTACATTCCAGGCATGTCTGAATGTAATAGCCCTATCACCCATGTTGGGATGCTATTCTATATATTCACTATACTTGCTTATGTTTTGTCAGCATAAATTGTCAGTAATTCAAAGTGAATATCATATGCAATCCCAGAACTCCAAGCATGGATGACATTGTGAATCTTTCCAATTTTTCTGGCCTACAATTTAAAATGCACTTTGAATTTATTTTAAACACGTGAATTGTTGTGATAGTGAAGTTGAAAGACAGTGTTTAAGTTCTAATCGTCATACAGGGATGTATACTACAATGAAAAAATAATTGATGCTTAAATATTAGGACAATAGAAAAAATGTCAGATTGAGACACCGATGAACAAAGAGGAACTGTCAAAATAGGCATTGCAAGTTAGGATTGGCTGAATTATCCTACACAGAATATGTTTGTGTCGATGTCACTTTGGGGGGAGAGGAGGATGCATGATGACGTAGAAGAATGCTACATTTAGCTCAAATGTTGCCGGGTGCTAATGACGCCTCAAAGCACGGAATATAGGTACCATAGAGGGAAATCACCTCAAAATTAGAGGTAACCCTGAAAACATTATATCCCCTAAGCTAGAAGACTATTGTAAAGATCTCTTTAAATTATGTGTTTATCTATAAACAGTGATGTTAATAGTACTGAAAGATGACACAGTGTACTGAAACCTAGCAACGTTCCGAATCACTTCCCAAAATGCGTGATTATCTGTCTTCACTCGTTTTAAGTCGCAATTCATGCATTCCATTGCTACTAAAGATTTGAAGGATTCGCCTTACTAACAAATAAAAATCTACCAGGACGTCAGGACCTGTCTTCACAGACTAGACTTAGTAGGAAATCCTGCACTTCTACACTGAGAAAACAGGATATAAAGTACGCATGGGGCGTCCCCACACAAATGGATTTAACTTATGAGAACCAAAAATATACTTTTCATAAACCTCAGACGCTCAAACAATGGGCACAAAAAATCTTCTTAGTCTAAAGAAGAAAAGTGAAGTAAGACTGTAAGAGGAGTTTTTAAAGACTGAATCAGTTTCTGTGGGATTTTTAAAAAAGTTTTTGGGAGAACTAATACAGACATGCATGTATAAACTATTTCTTTGATGGACTAGACTTGTGAATTTAAATAAGTACCGCAGTTCCGATTCTTTCCTCACTAAAGGTACACAGCTTGAAGATATTTTGAGTGATAACTCGATTATGAGGATATACATATCCTCATTTATATATAAATTGATAGCAGGGTTTGGTCTTTTTGAGAAGTTGTAAGAAGAAATGAAAGAAAGAAGGGAAAAAAAAGAAAGGAGAAAGTAAAGCAAATATAGAACTACTTGTCAATCAGGTGTTTATGTTTATTAGTAATTTTGTGTATTAAAAGTTGTACTGAGGCTTGACCAAGACGACCCTTTAAATCCTTAGCTTCGGTTCATTGAGCCGACAAAAGCAGGGAAATACCCTTCATATACTCTGCAGTTGCGTCACAAGAAGAAGGGGACACCCCCATCCACACCTCCATCAGCAGACGCACACTAGAATGGGCACACTGGGTAACTTCCTGTCTACTCCCGGTGAAATTGCAGACACTGCAGCCTCCGACCATGGAAATCCAGTCCTGCTTCCAGCAGCCTAGGGACCACTGAAATACGGGAACCCGTCCCCTCAAGTAATATGATCCAGCTCTGGGCCAACCTGCGGACCATCTACACCGTGATGTTCACAAAGTCCAATATCATGTATTGGCATGGGACAAGAAACCGGAAGGCAGATGCTTTATCTAGGATATTCGCTACTGAAAACAAGAGGAAAAACAATATTCACACCACATCACTTCTTGGGTGTCATGGCACATGTCTTGAAAGATATCCAAGCAACAGCTACTACATCCAATGTGCCTCTTTCACCAGAAGGGTTTTCTATGTCCCATGGGAAGATCTATGTGACAGAACCCCACCGTCTCAGTGTACTACATTTTCATGATGCACCTGTATCGAGCCATGGTGTGCAGAGGAAATCACTACAAGCCATCCAACAGCATTTCTAGTGGCCAACACTGATGAAAGCTTCTGTATTACATGTGCTAGATCAAAGACTATGACAACCTAAACAGCAGATCTTTTACAGCTGTTACCCATACTTTCCAGTCCCTGGAGTCATGCAACTGTCGACTTTATTGTAGACATCCAATTCCTATGGACACAATACAATCATGGTGCTTATAGACTGACTAACCAAGATGGCCCATTTCATCCCTGTGAAAAGCCTATCTACTGCTAAAAACACTGCCCCTCTTTTCCTAGACCACATTTTTAAGCTGGTCCCTGAATATATCCTCTCGGACCGAGGTGCTCACTTTACATCCCATTTCTGAAAGGCCTTCTGTCAGTCTCTGAACATATATGATCTCTTAACTGCCTTTCATCCTCACACCAATGGGCAAACCTAGAGAACAAATCAGACTTTGGAGACCTATCTTCACTGCTACACTATCCACCTACAGTCCGACTGGAAAGATCTACTCACCACCACTGAATTTGTCTACAACTCCAGGATCCACGATTCTAATTCCAACCAACTTCACTTTCGGGATTGCCTACATATACCACAGTTACTGATGCTTCTGCTCTTGTAACACATTTGTCACAAAGTTTTCTCCATGCCCAGACAACGTTACAAGAAAGTAAAACTCTCTACAAATCATATGCCGCCTGCCGCATGTGTTCCTCCAGACAAGCCACTTCCTGAATGTGACTGCACAGAAGGAGGAGCCTCGGGGGAAATCCTATGAAGCGCCAAATCATGGCCTCTTAAAGAGACAGAGGAAGGAAATCAGAGAAGGGGGGTGAACCTCCAATGTGGACCTCCAATAAGTGGACCTGCCTCCGCTCCTTATTTAAACTCCACTAACCCTTGACTTTTTGTTATACTGTGCTCCTGTCATGTTAACTACCTTCAGTTCCTGTCATGTTTTGCTTCCTGGTATTACGACTCCTGCTTGACTCTGACCATGACTGCCTGTCCTGACCTCTGGTGTTCCTGACTACTCTTTATCTGACCCTTTTTTTTGTGCTGTGTTCCTGTTTGCTCCAGACCTTTTCTGCATCTTGGGCTTCATCTCCTAAACAGCGTCCTAACAACAGTTTACCGTTTGCTTAAACGTACAGTTGTGTTCAAAAGTTTGCATACCCTTGGAGAACTGGTAATATATGGACCATTTTTATAGAAAACATGAGTGAGCAGGCAAAACACATTTCTTTAATTTCTTATGGGATTAATATTCA